CATCTAGGAGAAAAGAGTTTTTGGCCTCTGTTTATCACTCTTCGTCTTCTACTTCTTCTTCTTCTTCTTCTTCTCCTTACTTCGGTTCGTATTAAACCGATGGAACCGATGGAACCACCGATGGAACAGATGGAACAGATTGAACCACCGATGGAACCGATGGAACCACCGATGGAACCACCGATGGAACCGATGGAACCACCGATGGAACCACCGATGGAACCACCGCTGGAACCACCGATGGAACCGCCGATGGAACCGATGGAACCACCGATGGAACCGATGGAACCGATGGAACCACTGATGGAACCAGCGATGGAACCGATGGAACCACCGATGGAACCGATGGAAGCGATGGAAGCGATGGAACCACTGATGGAACCACCGATGGAACCGATGCGTATTGGTACGTATGGGAAGGATGACAATCCGAGGAGTGGTGGCAAACTCCTTCGTCTTCTTCTTCCTCTTCGTCTTCTTGTTCTATTGGGGTTAGAGAAAGAAAATCTGACGAGGCTGTGTTTTGTTCTGCAACGATTTACTTCCTTTCATATTTGTAACTCTGGTGGGACTGTTTTGCTTCTCTCTCAATCGGACTGAATTGCAGTCACAAGTCTGCGGGTGCTAGCATTTGCCAGTTCAACGAGTGGATTACTCACAGCGCCAAGTACCGTGATCTGCCGCTCAATGCCCAGCTTGGATTCACGGCAAGTGCTCTTACCTTTATTTCTACCCACCTCCTTGATCTTCTATCCTAGTGTTCTCTCTCTCTCTCTCTCTCTCTCTCTCTCTCTCTCTTTCTTTCTTTCTTTCTTTCTCAAGCAGATACATCTCCGGCTTGTGTTTCGATAACAGGTAAAGCTGTCAGACTACCTGCACCAGCTTGGTCTGACACCTTGGTAGCTCATTCTAATAAACGAGAATGTAGATAAAACACATCTCCTGGGAAAGCTTCTCGACCTGGTGGTCGACGTAACGATAATGACATTTGTCGATATGCCTCTGATTGTTCACATGTCATTCTTTTTTCTTTTTTTTTACTAACACACAGGCCCCTTCTATTCTGGGGGGCAACAGTGCGGTTACTTATCCCCGGCAAGCATGTTGATACAGGGACAATGGGAGAAAGAAGAGAAAAAGAGGACAGCCTAACCGTTGTAGCCGACTGAGCAAGGGGGCGCTGCTTCTGTGCACCCCACCCCCAAACCTTTGTCCCTCCGTGGTGGATTATCCTATTGGCTGGGAGGCTTACTAACAGCACCCAGACATGCAGTAGGGCGATCCACCGGGGGCCACAGCGCGGAGGGGACGTTCAGGGGGGGCATTCAGGGCAGTCCCTGAGGCTGCTTGTCTAATCGTCAATTGTTTCCTGCCAATCTAAAGCTTGGCCAGCTCCCACTTACTTCAATCGTACGTTTGGCTATCCCTTACTCACACCCTGGCCTGTTTCAGTTACTATATAAGCCTTTCCCAGCCTGTGACATTTGTCTGGGTTGCTGATATGCACCTAGTCACCTTCTAACCATCTGTGACATTTGTCTGAGTTGCTGACATGCACCTAGTCACCTTCTAACCATTTGTGACGTTTGTCTGGGTTGCTGATATGCACCTAGTCACCTTCTAACCATCTGTGACATTCGTCTGGGTTGCTGATATGCACCTACTATTTTCCTGGTAGCAACAGCATTCTTGTTTCTACTATTGATAGATAGAATCCCCCTCTATCCTCTATTCCTGTTTCACTCCCACACACCCTCTATCCTCTATTCCTGTATCCTCCAGCTTCCTATGTTTTTTTATGTTTGAAGATAGAGTCCCCCTCTAAGCTAGCTCTACCCTCCACCACTGCCCCCCCCCCCCTTACCTATCTTGTCTCCTACACTTTGTGGCTACCTACCTATTGTACATCTACCATTCTCGGGTCTGTACTCTCCCTCCCATCTTATCCATCCCACAGTCATAAGTATGTTACAAACCGGTCGTTTTCGTGATGATCTGTCTCCTTTTTCCTAGTCATCCTCTTCTTACCCCTCTGCATCAGTCCGTGGTACTTTACGCATCGGCACAGGGCCCAACTGCATTTGGCCCGTCTGAGGGTGTCGAGTGAGCAGCAGCCGGTAGGGTTCCCATCGTGCTCCAAAAACCTTTCTCCTTCTTCCTTCCTATGGGCGTGTATTGATGCCAGTCTGCCGAGAGGGCGATTCTAATGTTCTCCAGCACCCTTTCTTGGTAAGCCTGCAGTGGTGGTGCAGTTCCCTGCCTGCATCGCTCACTCTTGAAAGTCCACGGAGCCCACAACACGCCGCCCCAATGATCTCTGAAGCCATCAGGTCCTCTGGCCGTGATCTGTCCACCTTCATCAGAGCCCCAAGGAGGATAATTGCATCATCCGCCTCCGCGACCCCCAAGGGGGTTTTGCCCGCCATCTCCTGTGCCCACCACTCCCAGAAGGCCCGGACCACCGGGCATCTCGCAAAAAGATGAGGAATGGTCTCCACTTGCCCACATCCTGCTGGGCATACCTGGTCCTTGTGCTGGCTCTTTGTTGCTAGCCGTTGTCCTGTGGGGATGGCCAGGGGGTACCGCTGCCACAACAGGCCCGTCTGCTTCTGGTCTGGCAGGGCAGCCAAAATGGTGTTTTGCTCATTTCATCTGCGCTGAGTCCATCTATTGACGTACGCATCTGGAATCCAGTCCCTCTTGGCCCATCGGTTTGTCAATCCTCCACAGATCACATCTGGCTTTCCAGTGGTGACCGATTCGGATCTGCGGGCAGACCTACCAAATTCTTGTGGTTTGACAGCCACAAATGTCTGCCTACA